GGGAAAACGGAGGAAATAAAATGTATGAATGCATGGCTCTTTAGGGCTTCCGAACTACTCTGTAACACCACTGTACAACTGTTTCTGTAGTTCAAGCAACTCCAACAGAGTGATGCGTCTTCCTTCTAGTGGATCAAATCCCATCAGTTTCAAGACTCACATTCTCCCATTTATACTTTCATTCATATCAGATCAATAATTTAAGCTTATTAACTTTATAGTTTTGAATCAGGACCATCAGTGTACTGTGATCAGGGCCAAAAAACTTGATTGGGACATTCCTAACAATCATTAAATAATATGTAATACAAACCTGTCATTCTTCATGATTTACCTGTACAAGAGTGAAATTCTTTTGTTCATGTTTTTGTGCATATTTGTGCGTGCAGGAGCGGGATGCAGAGCGACGGAGACAGCTGAGAGAGCGAGCAAGGCAGCTGATAGCTGAGGCTCGATCCGGAGTCAAGATGTCTGACATGAGCATGCTGGACGTGTCCAGCACTGAGAGAGGCAAGGGCAGCAAGGCTAGCCCTGCTGGAGGTCAGCACACACCAAAACACACACACAAGTCAGCAGAAGCAAACATAAACACATCCTCTTTATGGACACTGTGTTTTTATGAGCATGCTTTGAGAATTTGATTTAGAAGGCATTATATTAACACACTCACTAAATCTCACTAATAATCATTAACTGTAAAACAAAAGAAAAGTCACAGTAGCATGCTTTTGACATACGCTCACTTTCTTCACCCACCAATGCCATGACTCACACATTTCCATTATGCTCTCTAAAGGGGTTCTGCCTAATCCTTAGAGAAAAACAAAATGCCATTTGACAACGGGTCTAAAATGCACCACCCTTATATTCAGAACAGCAATTTACCCTGCGACTCCTCCCACGTCTCGTTCACCCAGTAATTGTTAATCAACACAACACATTGTGCGGCCAAATTATGCTCAAAATACCAAACGCTTCTAATAATGGCTTGCAGGGGTAGCAAATGTACATTTCCCACTGCTTTCCATTTCCTTGAAATTGGGGTTATTATGATAATGACCATTATTAGGCCTCTCTAGTCATTTGTTTCAGATTCCTCTACACGGTAGATTCAGGTAGATCGGGTGGTTCTGCATGCAAATGAAAGATGAGAGTGTAGACAGGTGAGGATTAAGAGTGCAAGAAGTAGAGAAAGTAATATGAGTATTGTTATTGCGATCAAGGAGAAGGAGGAAAGAAGCCTTTTGATGTTTTAAAAGTAGGGATGAAGGAAGGAATGGCTCTGAGAATAAATGGAGGGACTGTCAAACATTGAGACATGACCTCTTGTTTTAGAGAGATTGAGAGGAGATTAAAAGAGTAATGTTTAAGTGACAAGTAGGGCTGCAATTAGTAGTTTTTACTATTGATTGATTAATTTTCTGGAATAATTGTTAGGTCTATAAAATGTTAGAAAAAGGTGACACCTTACAGTGTCTTTTTGTTTAACCAACAGTCAAAGACCCCCAAGTACTCAGTTTACTATGATATTGAACAGACAAAAGCAGGAAATTCAGATGCTGGTACCAATGTTTGACATTTCTGTTTAAAAAAATTCACCAAAGGATTAATCAATTATCAAAATAGTTGCCAAATATTTTCCCTTCAATCAAGCTGATTGATTAATCAACTTATCGTTGCTGCTCTAGTGACAAGATCACATATAGAAAAGACAGGAAGAAGGACAAGTAGGTAGGTCAGAAGCACCAGTAGCCTGCGAGTGGCGGTGGGTTTCTTTTAAGTTGAAAAAGGGGATGAGCAAACAAATCGAAAAGTACTAAACCCTAAACAACAAGAAGTGAGATCAGCGACTTGTTAGGTAAAACGACAGAAGAAAGACAGTGAGGGAGAGGGAGGGTAGCACTTGATTTATTTGCTCTTTCAGCTTTTCTGAATTGGACTAATTGTTGATCTCATTAAAAATGGAGTTGGAGGAAAGAACAGAGACAAGGTGAGGAGGAGGAGGAGGAGGTGATCAGAAGAGAGAAATGCTGTTGGCTGTGATACACAAGGCCTGCCGAGCAGAACGGCTAATCCTAGCCCCCACACTCTCTTTCTCTATCTCTCTCTTTCTCCCTCTCTCCCCTCAACACCATTCACAGTCCTTTAATGCAGCTCGGGCTGCCCCCTCCAAGTGTCTGCCCGCAAAGAAACTTTCCAAACTCCATCACCATGGCCTCCCATTAATTAGGCCCCAGCCAGCCACGCAGGAACGGCGCTTGCAAGCATGCTCCGCATCGTAGCTAGCAAATTAGAAAAAAAATAACAGGAAATGCTGTTATTTTGATTCTCCCTCCTTCTCTCTTTGTTCTTGGTCTCTCTACCCACCAAGTAGTAAATAGCAGAGGAGGGAGCTTGCAATGTCAGACGCTGTTTACTGATTGTTTTGTTTTAATCCATGGTGGGTTATCCATGCAGCTAGAGCTGTTCAGGTCTCCATTTGAGTTTCTTCTAGCTTGTTTTTTCTTTTGTTCCTAATGTGGAGACACTGTTGTTTCTATTGAGCCCCTCAGGAGACTTAATGGAATATGTGCTTTCATGTTTTGGTGGTTTTTGTTTGCCCTACCTCTTTTATCTGGAACAAGAAAGGCAGGCAGCAGATCTTTGAATGAGGGGAATTAAACAGAGGTCTCAGTTTCACTTTGTGTGTTAGACATTTGTGCGCCAATGCACATGGACTCAAACAGATAGATGGACACCAATCAATCAGAGTCCCTCTTGTCATTCAAGTGGAGTCTGGTGCCACTTCACACATGAAATTTGTAAGATATTAGATTTATTAATTAGTTGCACACACTTAAATTCTACAGTCCTGTGCAGACTTACAAAGTCTAAGTCTCCTAGTTTTAAAGAGTGCATTAAATATGAGGTTGATATTTGTTTTGCAAACAGAAAGGGTGACATGGGTGACAAGTGTACTGGAATGCTTAAGGGGACGGAGGGGAGAAGACAAGACGTTATGGTGGATTATACATTTCAAGATGTTTAAGACAGGGATTTTTGAATCATGAACTTTTACCACAGACTACTGTTAACACAAACTAACAAAGCTTTCTTTTCTGCACTCCTCCCTGTGTCGTCATTTTAACCTTTTATTCCTTTAACACCTTTCCTTTCACTACTAATACATTCATCCTTCTCCCTTCTTTCCTTTCACCCTCACTCTCTTTTTCCTCTCCTTTCACTTCTCACTTTACTTTCTTGTCTTCCTGACTCACTCCCTTTCATACTTCCTTCCCTCTGTTTCCCCTCTGTCCCGCTCCGTACCTACAGATGTTTTGGATGGAGTGAGAGGTCAGGATGATGCCGGTGATGGGGAAATGGGTGAGGATGAGGAAGAGGGGAAGGCTGAGGAAGAGCAGCTCCATTTTGATGGTGATGGTGATTTTGATGATGATACTGTTGCTGCTGCCACATCTGCCTCTGCGCTGGTTACTAACCCACAGCCACTGGAGGCCCCTCTTCCAACTACCTCCATCACCCAGGGGCCGCTGGAGCTTACTAACCCCGGCACTGAGCTAGCTTCTCTGGGTAAAATCACTGGCGACTGCTGTGCAGTGCTGCATGGTTCACTGTTTTTCCAACTAACTCATTTACTTGCCTTCATGTATTTCCTGCATATATACAGTTGTCAATTTTTCATCTTCCTCTCATAAATAGTAAATTCTAATTTTATTTATATAGCCCAAATCTCAATTTGTTTCTGTGGGCTTCCAACATTCAACACCCTCTGTCCTTAGACCCCCCAAAAACCCTTTAAACAGAGAAAAAAAGAGAAGAAACTTCAAGAAGAGCCACAGAGGAGGTATACTTCTCACAGGACAGAGAGACAGTTAGCAATAGATGTTGAGTGCACATAAAATATTTTTTTTATGTTCAGCAAAAACATATCCCGGTAAGCCAACTTTGCTTGGCTAGAATTCTTAAAACTAGCATAGGAATCTAGCCACTAACAGGCCATATATAGTCTTAAAACTAGAAAAAGTTCTGCTTATTACAAGCAATAAAAACTCAGTTATTGAAGAAAAATAAAACAAATTTCCAGAAACAAGGCATTTTTACTTTCTTGAGATTTTATTTTTTGCAGTGCAGAGGGCTGATAAGATACTTCGCAAAGAAAGAAAAAAATCAAGTGTTTACCACATAGTGATAAGGCAGACAGGAACTAAAAGTTTTGTTGTGATATAGATCTTTTACATCCGAAAAGCACTGAAGTGGTAAAGTTTTGGCGACTTTTTCCACTTGTGTCTTTTTCTCACACACCCTATAAACACACATTTTCAAAGCAGTGCAGCGTAAGCATTTACTCAAGACCTTTCATCTAGTCTAAACTGCCCTTTGTCATTCAGCCACTCACTCAAGTGCATGCTGTCTATCTCTGTGTATCATCATCATCATTTACTTTGACCCCTGCATCCTATTGGCTCCATACTCATTGGTGCTTCACACAGAAGCAGCTAACTTACAGTATACATTTGTTGAGTTCTGTCATATTGTTGTTGGTGTTTTTTTCCCCGATTTTCTTTCATTAGGAACTTCTTTAAGTAGTAATTAATAAACTCTGAAAAGTGCTCCCCAGACAAAAATAAAATCATATCTTCAGGAAAGCATTTGCTCAAATCTTCAGAGGTAAACTAATTACTTTGTTTTGTATTTAATTTATTTTATTTGCCTCCTGAATTTCCTGCCGATGTGAGATATGTGAGAGTACAGTGAGGTACCAGAAGAAACAAACATGAAAACAGACAAACGCTTCTTCCAGCTTTGAAGTGCAGTATCTCTGCACTTTTTTTTCCCACTGTTTGTGTTTCTCTTTTTTGTTCTTTGTTGGTGGTAATTCTTATGTAGTCCAGAAGGAAATGGATGGTGGTGATCGTAACACTGAAATAGCTGATACCACACTTCATTCTGTACATGTTTTCCCCCCTGAATATTTTTGTCATCACTTTCCTGCAACCCAGGTCACTTACCCCACCTCCTCCACCCTGTATATGCTGCATTTGTGTTTTGGCATATACTGTGTGTGAGTCTTTTCATGTGTTTCTTTGTATGTCCGTTTGTGTGTGTGTTTGTGAAAAAGTTAAAGAGAGAGTGTCTATGTTTGGCATCTGTATGCATGCATCATGGGATGTGTGTGTGTGTGTGTGGTGTGTGTGTGTGTGTTGTGTGTGTGTCACAGAGGGAGGTGACACATGAAACGGTTGCCCTCCCGTTCTTTCATCTTCTTCAGTGCAGTGGTCTGTCCTGGCAGGGGAGCTGTGGTTACCAGTCCCTGGAAAATAAAGCTGTACGGAGCTACTGGAAGGCAAAGAGGGAGCAGGGAGGGAAGGAAGACGGGGAAAAAAGACAAGGAGGAAGAAAGACTAGAACCAACAAATTAGGGATGGGTGGCGGTAAAGGAGGGA